GAGAGCGAAATTTGAAAAAGCCCATGAATCTCAGAATGACCTCCCTGGGGCCATCCTTACAGTATCATAGATTAAAATGTGCTTTTTACTTATAAGTGAGGCTAAGATTCAAATAAGATTAAAATGTGCTTTCTACTTATAAGCGAGGCTAAGATTCAAATAATTGATCTTCTAAAAGCACACCTTTAAACTATTAGAGTGTACAAAGAATGTCCTGCACTTTAACAGTCAGGATTATATGCCATGGTTACCCATAATTCTGCAGCTTTTATATATTATGGAAATTAAGTATATTTGCACACATTCAATTATTTTTAAAATTTGTAAGTAGCAGCTTCATAGCACAGTTTTAACAATACAAAATACAAAGCAACAAACAATAATAAAAACAGCTCATAATAAAACCAAGATAACGTAGTAGGAAGACATGAACTGAAATATAGCTTCCTATGAAATTTGCACTTCTCCAAAGTTTGCAAAAGTTCTCCAGTCCAAAAAAATCTGTGAAATAGCGAAGAAAACATTCAAGGAGGCATTCAACTAACTGCTTGCAAAAATGTGTGTATGGGGAAGAGTGTACACAAAAATGCATGCAACCTTTCATTTTTTAAAAAAAAACTCAAGTTAAGACCAACCAAACGTAACACTGCAAACATGAGAAACAGAGAGAATGAACCTGACAGATTTGTTCATCCTCATGAGCTATCATTGGGATCGTCTTCTCCCCAAGCTGGAGGAGGAAGAGGGGCAGACCACAGCTGCTTAAACACATGCTTACACACTGAAGCTTCTAGGTTTAATTCCTGGCATTTATACTTAAAAGAATCAGGTAACAGGTGAAAAACCTGCCAGTATTAGTAGACTAAAATGGGCCAGAGCAGGGGTGAGCACTTGCGGTTCTCCAGGTAATCTGTTTTACAATTTCAATCTGACCTAACCAACATAGCTAATAGTGATGGATGATGGGTACACCAAACCTCTGGAGCCACATGTTGCTCACTCCAGTTAGATGAACCAGTAAACTGATTCGGCTTCCTGTGTCCCTAAGAAGCCACTCCACCTTGTTATTAAACTAGTGGGCAACTTTATGGAGAACTACTGGCTGAATTTTCTTGTTTCTTCGCTCCTAAAGCAGGGACTTTATTTTTTAGGAGGCTATGCTTAGAAAGAAGAACAATAATGGACCCCTGCATTAGAACTTTTGCCAAGCACACATACATTTTAAAGGCATATTATAAAATAAATTGTACTGTTAGAAAATTCAGTGTATATTTTTACAATTTAATTAGCTTATGCTGCATGAAATTGATAAATTAGGATTAAAAATCAAATTATTACAAGAAGTATTTTGGAGGGCTTTCATTCATAGGGTTGCCATACGTTGGAGACAACTTGACAGCATGTAACAAACACACAAGAAAACCAAACAAGTAAAATTGCAGACAAAGGGTTTTTAACATGATTTTTAAACTCACCACTTCCTTCATTTTTGTTCCTTTACTTTTGACTAAAATTAGCAATAACTAGACAATCAATAAAAGTTTGGTTTCTGACTATCCTGTAAGCTCCATTGTGGTATTTAATGCAATACAGAAAAAATACATCTGTACAAATAAATATAAACTTGAAGAAATGTCTTTTAGCTACTGGCACGATCTTTATCTGAAATCGAAAATGAAACCCCTCCCACAAACCTATATGAAAAGGTCAACTACATTATTATTGCAACACAATAGAAGGAATGATCAAGTTCTCCCAACTGAAAAGTATGACAAAATACTGTTAGAATGAAGGTCACATGTGAAATGAACATTAGGTATCTGTACTGCAACCAGATCTCTGCAAGAAAAGAGAAGGATTTTTATTACTACTTGATGACCTGCAAATAGATAACTGGGTGGTTTGGTTTGCATTAGCAGTTTAATTTAGCACATTTTATTTAGCAATTACAGCTAAAAACTTAGCTGTCATAGACTAGAGTTCATAAATGCATTTGCCAGTTTGCCGTTGGCAGGCACCTTGCTTTGATTTGGCAAAAATATGCAACCATCGTGATCCCTGCCCTTTTTCTCTTTTGGGAGAAACACGAGGACTCTCCCTGCAGACTTCAGAGGAATATTAGGGGCTCTCCTAGAGGTTGCATGGAACCTGAGAGACATCTGCAAAGCTGTGAGATTTCTTGCTGTAATAGAGACAAGATTCCATTCTTCTCCTCAGGTATGGAAACTACACAGATTATAGGCAACTACAGCTGGAACTACACAGTTGGGCTTGTTCTTGAGCACAGTGTAATGTCAGAAGACCCTTTTCTTTCTGGACGGACACAGCAAGGTAATGGCAAGAACAAGTATTGACTAGATAACCAAGGCCAACTATGATTTGCTGGGTCCTAGTCACTGGCAATAAAACATTACCAATTCAACAGAACTGTATACAATCAATAGCATGTTTCAGAAATAGAAGATGACTTTTAGTGAAATACCAACCTGAGTATAACAGTTGCATTAATGCACAGCAGTCATAAAATAGCAAAAGGCGACTTGAATATAGTTATTTACTAGTATGACCCTTTTATTCATTTCCATGATCAGAGATTTAATCAACAGTGAAGCCAAGTTAAAATGATTAAAACATACCACATGATAAAAATGAGTTTTTGTCTAGCCTCTATTTCAAATCTGAAATCACTATCATTATCTCAAATATGAAAATGAAGTGGAGGATTTACTACAAGCTGATACTCATTTTGCAATTGACCAAATGGAAATCTTACTTAAAAGTCCTAAAATTCCTCCTCTTTTTTAAAGGTCTGTTTATTCAGGGAATTATCAAATATTAATGATAAAATACTTATGGGTCTCAACTGTACTTTTGACACCATTTAGTAATGATACAATGCTAGAAGCATTGCTAGAATACAATCCATCCTTCTTAATGTTGTCTTTGATTCTCAATGACATTATGAAGTAAGAGATTATCATGAAAATTAATTTAAACACCTAGTTTCAACATAAAACTTTTCTATCATATCCACTGCCACATTTTTCTCAGTATAATGCAACAACTTTTCTCCAAATTTTAAGGCTCTTAACACTGGGATTTTCCAATGAATTTGTAACTGGTGATAAAAATGCTTTCATTCATCTCCAAATACAATACTAATGTCAACACTTAAATGGGAACACTAAGAGCATCCCAGCTTAAACTGCAAGAAACTTCTTGAAAAAGTTATGCTGTGATCTTGATGCAACTTATTTTCCATCATATCATACTGTCATATTCAGAGAGTCTGTTTTTGTTGATATAAAAATACGAATGAGAAAGAGTAGAGCAATAATTCAGTCAAATAATGTCTAATACACATTATAGCAACAAATTTTTGAATTTATCAGCTACTGTTTTGCCTTTTGCTATTTTAACACCTATTAGTCATAATATTAAAAGTGTACAAGCTGCTTGAATGTTTCTATTTCTTTCAAGATCTGCATTTTTATTTCTTTTTTTAATCTGGCAAACCAGGCAGTATATGAAACAATTATTGATATTGCCACACACAACATTGACAGATGATTAATATAGCATAAAACCCTACAAGTTTAAACATTTTAAAATCCTAATGGAGTAGTATTTTGTTGTGTTTTAAAGGAACATCAAAATCATTCTAGCATAAAACGGAAAGAAAATACCCACAACGGTCCCATTCGAATGTCATGTTAAACCTGCTTCAACCATGCACCTTTCCACCCTCCCCTTTCCTCCTCTGGTCCAGCTTCATGGAGTTCAGAAACTTTAACTTCCATATCAATCGAACTTTGGCTATTGGGTGGTATAGAAATAAAATAAACTTGCAGTTCAGTCATTCATCCAAACCTTAAACTATGGTTAATTATGGTTGTATAAAGAAACCAGCTTCATAATCCATAATGTGAAGCTGACTTTTTCACATAAGTAACAGGTGCAACTGTGATTTTCCCCATCACTTCCCAACACAAAAACTGAAAAATGACAGGAAAATCATGTAGGGAATGGTACTAGTTAGAGCTAATGGTGACCGTTTCTGTCAGAGGTAGTCCAGATGTGGTGATATTGTCATTCTGCTTAGCATAATTTCAAAAGTATGTATTTGTTGAGGAGAAATACACTATAAAACAAATCACTGGCAGAAAATAATCTTTTGGCTTGTGTTTGTTCTAATAAAAGTAAATAATACTAAGGGAGTGTGCTGGGTGTATGTGGGTGTACCAGTATTACTTGGACTGGCTGATGTGATCAAATTATGACTAATTATATTAGATCCAATTCAAACCACTGGTTTAAACATTTACGACACTAAGTGACACAGCAGTATAGGGCCAGACACAGTATAGGGCCATATTTACCTTTAAGAGCATCATCATAGGCCCTCCTCCAGTAGTCCATGACAAATGAGGGGAGGCAGATGGCTAGAAGTGAGATAGCTTTTTCAGTGGTGACACTGAATTTGTAGAATGCTTTCCTCAGAGAGGCTTATTTGGTACCCATGTGATGGTCATTTTGGCTCTAGATGAGGATCCTTTTATTCTCCCAGGCATTTTAAGAGCTGTTTTCACTGCTTTTAGTACTCTGTTCTACAGCTGGTTTACTCTGATTTCATGTTGCATAATACTTTTATTCTTTGCTGGTTTTTTTCTTGCTTTTATTTTTGTTTGTTTTAATTTTTGTACTGAATGTTTTTAATGTATTTTTCCCCAACCAGTGAACTTGTTTTAAAATATGGTAAATAAAAAGAAATTGGTTTGGGCAAAATCTCCGGAGCTGTTGTGGAGAATGGCTTTTATTCATTTCAAGGTCATTGGTGCAAGCCACATTAATGAACAGAGGTTGCATGGCAACAGGACTGAGTGGATTGTGCCTTCATTAAACAAACCAATGTTTTCTGTTACTGAAAACAAACATAATGGAAAGACGTAATGAGGACAAACCTCTAACTATAAAGATATATAACAATCTAAACTACTTACTGTAGCTGGGGAGGCTCGTGTTGTGTGAGTCACTGAATGGCCAGAGTTTTCCATTGAATTGCCAATCAGGTAGGTACCTCCCGTGCTGCTGATGAGTTGTCCTCCAGTGACACCCATCTGAATGCCTCCAGTGCCCACCATGCTATGAGAAGAGACCACTGTTGTCACCTGTGCAGAACTTCCTTGGGTATCAAAGTAATTCCCCCCAGTGTTTTGGCTGTACATCTGAGTTTCTGTGTAAGGATACGTTGTTGTTCGTCTTAAGGAAAAGAAAAAGGAAAAAAAAATGTTTATACGTGTCCTTCTACTAGAGGGAGACAACACTTTCATTATGGAGTATACTGCACAACTGCTATAACCAAATTAAACCATACTATTTATCTTTTATTTCAATTTCTAGGCTATAAAGTGCTTTAAAAATCACCTCTCAATGTAATATGAATGTTCTTTTTCCTGAAAGAAGTTATTAAATATTTATTAGAAAATAGAAACAGTCTAAAAGTACACTAAAAGCAGGTTAATTCAGCTGTGCTAGAAGTATACATGCCATTTTAGAACAGAAAAAAGCATCTTAAACACATAAGATACAACATCCATCAGTTCCCAATTTGCACTCTCAGCATCCCCAGGTGCTCTGAACAAAGACTATGTAGTTCATTCACAACAGAAGGATGTTAGTGGCAGGAAAGAAGACTGTTTAGGTGTTAGAAACTTGTTCAAGGACAAGACCATTAGAAATGTTTGCTAACATATATCCAAAATTCATTATGAAATAATTAAAAAAAGAAAAAAAAATGAAAACTAGGATTCTCAGAACATGAGCATGCATGAAAGTCCTGTCCTTGATCATTCAGCTCAGTTCCTGACTTCCCCCTGTTGATGGAGGAGGCCTAAAGGGGGCTTCTACTCCTGCTAATCTGAACAATGTGCAGAAGCCACCATGGCAACTTTATTTTTTATTAGGGTTCCTGATTGCATAAAACTTTCTACTCTCTTTAAAAAGCTAATGTTTTACCACCTAACTCCACGCTATACTTCAGTCCTCATTTCTCAGTGAGTTAAGGTTGGGAATTGAACAGGAGAAGATACAGCTACTGAAGCAAAGCCAGCTTGTGGACCTTCATCTTCTCTCCATTTTTAGCCCTCACCCAAGCAGACTCAGCACTTGCATGTGTCTATAGTTACAATTTTAATTTGATCAAGTTCTTTTGGCGTTGATCTTCCTGACTTATCTCTTTGGAAAGAATTTCACAGGTAGTTGTAATTCTAACTAAACAGCATGGCACTGAAAGGGTAAATCTTTTATATTTTCTCAGGTTTCATGGGTGGTATGCACATGGCGCACGCCCACACACTGATTTATTCCCAGCTGACTCTATTAGGTTCTATGTAAATGTCACGACAATGATCTGTTGCCTTTTATAAATTAGTACTCCTGCCATCTCATCTTGCCTCACCATGTACCTGAGCTGAATGCGACCCTGCATCTTCTTTCATCTGTTTATTCAATAGGATTCATTTACCTGCAGCACATTGATCTTTCTGTGCAAAAGTTGCTTTTTAGTTTCAGAACTCTAGCATTGTTACATTTCACACCAGCAACACAAGGCTTTTCCTTGCAATTAAATCAATTCTACTCATTTACGCATTCTCTAGTTCCTTAGAGATAGTCTAATTGCTTTAAAAATTTGAACTATAGTAGAACCTGGACTCAAATATCTGTTCAATCCATTTCAGTTTTTCACTTTGCAATTTGTTTAACTAACACTCCATGAAAAATACAAATTAAATTTCCTACATAGAACAATGCTTCTAAAAATATTGCTTAATATAATTTATTATTAATTAGTAATCTGCTAAGTAGATGACTTCCTTTAAAATTAAGACACCTAGCTATGCTTATGGGATTTTAATTAAAGTAAAAAAACTTCTGCATCCCCCCACTAACTCAGCTTTAAAAATGATTTATTTTTGCAGACTACAGCTACTGACAAACATGAATAAAATTCAGTGGAGGAGTGCTGCAGGCATATCCAACTATCAGCTCTGAAAAGAGATCATTCCTAGTCTGTTTAAAGGTGCTGCCCATATAATCAGTGGGTTGTATATATTGGTCCTACTTAGAGTAAACTGACAAGACTGAATCAGTTAACAGTGAATACAATCTACTATCTCTGGAGTCATTAAGGTGAAGAGGGGAAGAATAAGAACCTAATACAGGACTCCCAATTTTGGCAGGACCCTGTGTCTTTTCTGCAAATCTGTCATTTGGCACAGCCTTTTTGTGTCAGGGTAAGCAGATAAACAAAGACAACTGTAAGAAGGACAACAGAAGAAATATTAAATTGACAGTACCACAAATCTGATATTAATGAAAGGTAAATTAACACTATAACTAAAGTAGTAACCTGATCCCATTCCATTCAATCTTTTTTCTAAGTATACTAATACAGATGTTGCGCCACATAAGTCAGAGCCACACATATGGAAAGCAAATACATAACAACAATATTGTACAGATAATACACCCAAACAGTCACCAAGTTAAGCATTTGTATTCTGTCTACGTCAAATGGGATTCCACAGGTCAATATTCTGAAAAGACACAGGCGTGTGATGTACAGAAAGTGTTGACTAGAATACAACGTCTACCTGGTGCCAAATCCTCACTTGCTGAAAAATCACAAATAAAAATTGTTTATTTGAGATGCTAGAAATGGGATGGGCTATAAAAACTTTAAACAAACAAACAAACAAATTTCATAGTTACATGAGATTCTCTAACTTAAACCATTTTATAAATCACATTATATTACAATGACTAATACTCCAATCTAATTTTTATCTATTCATTTAAACATTTTACACTATGCAATTATTACGAACTCCTATCTTCAGAACTGTTAACAATCATGGCATGTGTCACATGATGCTAGCTTATTTATGTTTTTAGTTAAGGAGTTTGATCTGTGCTTGAAAGAAAAATGCCAAGCAGCAGTTTTATCTCATTATTTATTTATTTAATTTGGGATATTTCTAACCAGTCCAATCACTACACGTCTTTTGACATAGGGTTTCACTGATATAATGTAGAAAACAACCACCTGCCACCTCCAAAGATCATCAATAACTAATACCAGAAATTAACAATGGAACCTCAAAAAAGGATCAATAATTCACAACTGGGGAGGGCAGGTTTATATGTTACATTTTCTTATATATATTTCTCCAAAGGAAAATACGAGATACACATTTAAAGAATATAATATGAATGACAGAAGACATTTATGGCTGCATGTTATGTTTCTGCGAACATCACATACAATGCATGGGTTGCATGCCTTTTTCAACAACAACAACAACAACAACAACAATGTGCCTTTGATAATGTAACAATTGCAGCCTATGAAGATGCAGCTTTGCGAAAGAAGACTACACATTACTAGGAGCAGATGACAAGCAGAACAGTGTGTATACCAGGACTACAAATGAAGTTTAGAAACAAAGAGCCACAAATAAGAAGGAAGTATGTGCAGAAAGAAGGAAGAATGATTTGGTGGATGACAAAACATTTAAAAGGAAAACAGCATACCATTCCTACATTGAGGAACAACTGCAACCTATTATTAGAGTACTTTGTTTAGTGGTATTGCCTCCCTCACACATACAAATGCACAGACAAACAGGGAACTAGTCGCAGGGAACTAGATGACCAGGAAAAGGCAGAATCATTTATATAAGGTAATGCTAACATGTATGAAAGTATCCTTGTGAACAGCGTAGCTTTAAAACAAATAATTTAAAATAAAATACCGCGTATAAAATGAGATTTCAAAATCATCTTTAAATAAATTCTATTGTCCCCATATATGCGGCACGATTGTGACATGGTAACTAAAAAAACCTTGCAATCAATACCAACACACAAAACCAAGGGACATTTCATCCGAGCATAATGCTTGCAATTTAGGGACCCAGAACACAACTACTTATTTTAATGAATATAACGAACAGATTTTATGAATGTATGTATCGATACTACCCAATAGCTGAAGCTCTTTGCAGTGAGCTACAATTAAGAAATATAATAAAATGCAATATAAAATAAACTATAAAATATCATAAAGTTACACTAAAAATTAAAGCCACATTTTAACAACAGTGAGAACTAATCCATGCTGTTAGACCTGCTAAATGTGATATTTGGAGCCACTAAATGCCTAAAAAAGAGGGAAGTCTTAATATGGCACTGAAAACAAAGTCAAGTTGGCACCAGGTGGATTCAGTGTTTGGGGGCTTGCAACACAGAAGATCCTCCCAAATGATCCTTCCTTGGAGATAGTATTTAGAGGAAGGCCTGCTATGTCATGTATAGGGTTCAGATACATTGAGGCTGGAAGAAGCATTCTAGCAGGTATTGTGGGGCTCAAGCCATATAGGGCTTTATAGGTTAAAACCACCACCTCACATCAGGCTCAAAAGCATATGGGAGCCAATGCAAGCAGGCCAGAACTGGAGTAATATGTCCAGACCATATTCTTCTGGTTCGTATTCAGGCTGCATTTTATACAAACTGCAGCTTCTGAACTGTCTTCAAGAGAATCCCCACATTTAGCACATTTCAGGACTTGTGTTTAGAGAGTGCAAAAGCATAGCTTACTGAAGATAGGTTGTCCCTGTCCAGATAGGGCCACTGCTGCGCCACCAACCAAAGGTGGTGGAAGACACTCCATGCCACTCAGGCTTTGTCTCAGGAGACAAAGATGGAGACCCTCAAGCTAAAAACCTGCTTCTTCAAAAGGAGTACAAGCCAGAACAGGGTGAATACCCTCCACCTGATCAGAGGAACCAACCACAAATAGCATCTTAGTCTGTATTAGGATTCAGTTTGTTAGCCCTTATCAAGTCCCTTGTTGCAGCCAGGTACCAGTATGGCACATCCACAGTCTTGCCTGCTGAAGATGGTGAAAAAGAGCGTTGTGCCATCAACGTAAGATGACAAAACACTCCAAAACTCAGATCACCCACCTCAGTGGTTTCACGTAGATGTTGAACAAGATAGGGGACAAGTATAAACCCCAAGGAATCTCAGAATGAAGAGTCTACAGGGCCAAACAATATTCTCAGGTACAATCTTCTGTAGCTAACCCTCCAAAAAGAAGCAGAACCACTGCAATGCATGCAGTACCCCACTTTCACAACTCAAGACAGTTGCCCCAGAAGGATACCACAATTGATGGTATTGAAAATGGCTGAGAAATTCGGGAGAAGCAACATGGTCACATTCCCCATTTATCTCTCTCCCGGCAAAGTTGTTTCTGTGCCAAAACTTGGCCTGAACCCCAACTGAAATAGATCCAGATAATCAATCTTATCCAAGAATGCCTGGAGTTGACTGCCCACCATGCACTCAAGGACCTTGTTCCCTAAGAACAAGGCAGATCATTGGTCTATTTAGTCCAATACCAACAGCTTTGATTGGCAGCAGCTCTCCAAAATATGTTTCCCAGTCTCACCAATTAACTGGTTTACTAAGAAATCCCAATGAGTTCAATTATTTTACCTCGAGAACTTCAGATTGAACCTGGAACCTTCTGCATATAATGAATGGGCCCTTCCCATGAAATATGTACACAGGAATGTAGTATTGCACATGTCAACATTTTCACAACCAGCTAAAACATCATGTAAAATATTTAAAATAAATTAATTTCATTCCAAATCTCTTAAGATTGATTTCAGCTGCTGCTTCAGGATCTAAGAGCAATATCCAATGCAATATTCCTAGAGCTAATATAGATTCTGCTATGCTAGCATAAGCAACAACTAGCGCGACATGAATAGTGCTTGCTGATTAAGTAGCCTTTCCAAAGAAACCTATCATGCCAGGAAATGCTATCAGTGTTGCACCAAAAGTGGCTAGGACAATTCAACTAACAGTAGTAGTAATAGCACCCTGAATACTGTCCCAAGCCTTTAATTTTGAATAACAAAAAGCTTTAGTTTTAGATGATTTTACATAGCATGTTGTTCATACTTTTTAAAACTCTGCATAATATAATTAAATCATGTATACTAATTAGAAATAGATGTCAAAGTGATTAACTTACATAGCTCCATTTGTGTACACTGTGTCACTTCCCTCCACATACTGCACCTGGGCTGGGTATACATGCTGCACCTGTTGCACACTTTGAACTTGCTGAACCTGCAAATAAAACACTGTATGAAATAAGTGTTCTACTTGGGCATTATACAACTAGCCCATACTGGCTCTAATGATTAGTGAACAGTAAACAATAAGACATATTTATAAAGGATTATAAATCAAACCCACAATATGAAGACTAACGCCATTTCATGCAGGCATTTTATTTATTTTTAAAATGTATAAGCAACTTTTCAGCAAAGTAGCATAGAATTAGCAAAGGATGAACTGCACAAATACCTCATAATTTGTGCACCACGTTACAGATGAAATATCTTGTTCACAAAATTTTAAAAGTTCTATTATGAATTTTTAAAGTGTTTTAAACTTATAGTAATATTTATTTATTATTTAATTACACTTCTATGCCTCCTCATGCCCCAAGGGTTCTCTGGGTAGCTTACAAGATGCTAAATAGCATATAAAAATCAACTGATAAAATAAAAACAATAAAATAAAATGTTATACAAGGAGATACAGAATGCCAAAGAATCATGCTCAAAATTCAAACCAAGTAGAACCAAATAATTAAAACAAGATCAACAATTAAATATGTCAACAACAAAACACAAATTAAATTAGTCAAATGCCTGACTAATACAATAAAATATACAGCTTTTTCACCATTTTATTTAATCTTTAAAAATTCTTAAAAATGACAGCCTCTCCAAGATGGTAGGAAGCCTCGCTCTTGACACACACTTTCAAAACGCAATCAAAGTTGCCTCTGGCATGATTGTGCAAATTGTTTCTAGGGGCTGTGACTGGTGACTGTCCCCTGGGACAATTTCAGTTCTGTTTTGAAAGCCCATCATAGGTATTATGATTCCCTGCCTCTCAGAGAGATTTAATGACATTTAATAAAGTTTTTAAAAATAAAAAGGAAATGGTTAGACCAACTAATATTACACTAAGTTTGCAAAGAATTCCAGACCTCACAATAGAGGTACAGCAAAGACAAACACATAGCCTTGGAGTGCAATGAAAAAAACCAAATTGTTTGAATCTAAGTGATCAGGGATACATGCAAGAATTGTGTTCATGTTAGATTCAATTTCTGGCTCAACCAACTGGGCAGCATCAATACATACAGCATAATACAATAAACAGGAAAAAGGCCACAGCACACAAATGAAAAAAAATGCCATAAGGGGTCAGATATAAATCCTGTAACTCAGTGGGAAAATTCAGCTGATTCCAAGTGGAAGGCCCTCCTAAAATTGTACTCTTCACTTGTCTATGAAAACTAGAATGGGAAATGGGCCTTCCAGAGAAATGAGTTTCAAAACCTAGGTCACACCTGAGAAACTATGCCTCAAATAGCAACCAGTCATTTGTTTAGGTAGTATGTTCCTCAGGATTATTCAGGAGCACATGGTCCTACAAATACCCTGGTCTCAAACTCTTTAGGATCTTAAAAGATGAAAACTACATGTAAAAACACAACTGGAATCATGTTATCTGTATTGTGATGTTTTCATACAGAGCCGATTTGTGCATATGCTAGCCTGTCATCAATAAATCAAATTGTATATAGGCATGCATTACCCAGCATTAAAACTGAATTAATAATATTTACTAGGGGAAAAGTACTGCTGATTTTTAAGGGACACACTTCTGAGTAAAAATACTTACATCCATGTTGTTCAATATTAAGGTAGAAAAATAATTTAATCATGTCTGCCTGTAAGATATTCTCTAACAGACATTTTAATAAATACTGCATTGGTGAGTTTGTAAAAACACAAGTATTAAACCCAATAATATAAATCATAAATCTGACTGCTCTCTTCCCTTCCCCCCCATACACATACATACACACACACCAGCAGAGTTTCACTCTCATTAGACAATATATTTGCTAAACTATCAAGAAATAAAACAGACATTTTAGTTTCATGGTGACACTTTTCAGAGGAGGGCAATACACAGAAACAGGTCAGAAGGGGCCTTCTGGGCCATCTAGTCTGACCCCCAGCTCCAGGCGGCTTCACTCACGACATGCCCACCATGTGCATGTCCAGCCTATCTTTGAACACCCTCACCGATGGGGCCTCAACGACCTCTTGTGGAAGCCCATTCCACACCCTCGGGGGCCTGACTGTCAGGAAGTGCTTCCTGGCATCTAAATGGAACCTTGGTTCCCTGAGCTTTGCTCCGTTGGAGCGCGTCCTGCCTTCCTCCTTCCTCCCTTCCTTCTTCTACAAGAAGAAAAGAATAATGCAATAGAAAATGGCATAGTGCAGGCATCATGTCAACCATAGATAATAATAAAACAGTACTTTAATCCTTAAGCCATGGGCTGTATTAGAACATAATAATACATTGTTATGAGTCTAGATATGCCTGGAATTTGAATGCTTCCTTTTCCCTATCTTCTTCTGTGCAGCCATGGGAGACTGGAAGCTTTCACTTCCAGTTTTGACTAACCACAGTTTAGCATTATGTTCAAATTATGAAAACAATGTTTGGTCGTCAGTATGTTTACTAAAATAAGTCATTTACAAAACTTGGTTTATAAAGCTGGGTTGTTTCAATTAGCTATTCTTAAGCTCAATCACAGTTTAAAGTAAGGAAATAATACTAAACGTGGTTAATCAAATGGAGAAAAAAGCTGCTTATCTCCTAACAGCTGAGCTTAAGCTCAATTCCCGTAACAACAGAATATAGTTTATTATTGCATCCAAATTCATTCAATACTATATGTGTTAATATAGTTGGACAAAAATGGTTTATAGCTACTTGTCAGTTTAGTATTCTAATTTCTACATGCTGCGGCTTCTGGAGTATGTGCAATGGCCATAACTATGGCTCATCAATTAATATTGTGCTAAAATATAAAGTATATACTGTGGGTCCATTACCATACTGCTTTGATAACCAAGTACTCAGTGTGGTTTACCAATCAACATCACAGCAAATCACACGTAATCTTTCTGGAACAAATTTGGTACAAGTATGAATTGAAATATTCAAGGAAGTTTCATCCTTTTAAAATGTTCTGTTCCCTTCCAGAAAGCAGCATTGGTCTGAACAAATACTTTATTTCTAATTAATTTGATTCTAATGGAAAAATATAGTGCACTGTCAAGTGTCTTGCCATTCTAACATGTAAAACCTGCTTTCAAAACCAGAGCAAATTAAATTACTTTGGCATTAATCTCTATGTTTACCATGTACTTTAGATTAATACATGAACACAGTCCTCAGAAAGTATTACAATTTAGATGCTATCCTTAAAAATAACAGAACGTGTAAATATAAGGGAGATCTGCCAACAATCTATAATATTATCCATACCGCTTTGGCGACTGATACTGGGGTCTATATTACTACACATTCAGAGGATGTATGATACTCTAGTACCTAAGTGCTTTGCAATTAGATCTGTGTGCTGCTCTGAGTTCCGTAAAACTTCCATCAGCATACTCCCTCTCCACTGATTTTGCTTGTTTTTTAAAGCAAACTTTAATGCAGGTTCTTTCTGTAAATAGCTTAATTAAAAAAACCAAATCTCATACTTTGGGCAAAAACAAAGCAAAACAAGTCTTGTCATCCAGCTAACCTCAATGTTACATGTTATAACCTTTGTGCACATTAATTAGGTTCTACTATTCTGTGAAATATGTTGCAAATTTGCTTACAAACCAAAGTCATAAAGTGCTTTTTAAAAGCAGACTTTTTCTACTTTCATTTTTGATCTTCCAAAAATTATAATTATGTCAATGTTCTATTTATAACATCAGCAAAACAGCAAAATACAAAACACAATCATTTTCAAAATATTATCCTTTAAAATATGAGTGTGATAATATTTTAAAGAAAAAAAGTTGTGCTTTCTGTTTTCAGTTCACATTTTATTTCCCAGACATTAAGAGGAACCTGAAAATTTAGGCAATTGCATGAACACTTACCTGGGAGTAAAGTACTGCTGAATACATGTACAGGATTGCACTGTAAACTCTGCAAATCATCTACACTTGTCTCCTACAAAGCTCTCATTAAACATAAAACCAAACTTCTGGACAGATTCTAAACCTGGCATATGTGATGTGGTGCCCAAGGGCCCCAACCTGCTCACAGACAACTTGGTAGATCCACTGATGCTACTCTGGTTGGGTGTCTATAGTAAATGCAAACAAATCAGCCCAATATTGTTCTGGCAGTGGCATTTCTCCTCATAGACAACTAGTCACTATAACTTCTGTCATCCGACACCCCTTCCCAAAATAGCAATAGATATTTCTTGGAGAAGACTCCACTTGTCCTACTCTGGCCAGGTAGGGATTGCAGAAACAATGGTAGCCAGTCAACAACACAGAAGCATCACCACCTAGCCTACTCTTGGGACCTCAGTCCTGTTGAAAGAAAAATACTTTCCCAGATCTTAATAGAGCATTGGGAAACCAAGAAAGAAAATTGAAAGGTTCAGAGGGGACCAGAACAGCACAGTTGGCTGTGCCTTTTTTATTGCCCTTACACACCTTTTTATAATGCAGCTTAACTGAGTAAGGGGATTTTTTTACACTTGAAAAAGGGATGGCCCTTCTAACAGTCATTTGTAAAGGATGCGAAGAGCTGGTGGCAGGGGCCTACATTCTTCGCAATGATAATTTATAGCACCTAGCATACAGAAACAATGTCAGTGGCAAGTTCAAGCAGAAAGTTACACAATTTTAGCCAATACCACTTCTGCTGCACTGGTGCAAACATGTACCACTGAATCACATTAGGCTAACGTGATACTATATTTCTCTGTGCAGTCACATTTTATGTCTTTTATTCCCCTATCATAAGTGATTTATTTTTCACTGAAAGTTCCAATTCATACTTCATTAAACAGAACGACCTGGTTCACTTGATAAAATGTTGTGATTTCTCATCTTGGATTCTAAGAGGGGATTACAGCTTGAGATTGATGGGCAAATGGTCAAGGAACACCTCATTGCTTTGGACAAATTCAAATCTCCAGGACCGAGAGGCAAAAGAACTCTCAGGAC